GGAATGCTCCAGAGCGGCGCCGGGGGGGGCCTTGGCGCTGCCCCCAACTCTTCCCGTTACCCCCGCTCCCACCTACACTGCTTTAGCCATACCGTCTCAGATCAGCCAGAAAGATAGGTTTATTCATTCACCACCTCTGCCCGTGCCTACCTTGTGCCACGCACTGGCCGGAGATGTGCCGGACCTGACATTCTTACGGTGGGGGAAGGGGCGGGCAAGCAAGATGATTTCAGATCAGTGCTATGAAGAAAATGAAGCCGGGTGATAATTTGGGGGCGGGGGAGTTGCTCCTTAAGCTGGAGTGCTCAGGAACGGCCTGGCCTAGGAGACAGCACTTGATTCAAGACCAGAATGAGAAAAAACCAGCCTTCTCTGGAGCCAGTGCAAAGACCCAGAGGCGGGACTCCAGGCTGGCTGCGATCCTGGGCGGGGCCACCACTTTGTGGGAGGAGCCTGGAAGGGACTTCTCCAGACTGAGGCTCCTCCAGACCCAGAGCCTCAAGCCCTGAGCCTGTACCGTGTCCTGGTCCCCTGGGAGTGACTCTTGCCTGTGGCTGAAAGCGACTCTTTGTTTCCAGGCGTCTTTCTAGACTTTTTGGACCTGGAGGTTGTGCCATGTGGTTACCTGTATGGAAGACTGTAATTTTCCACTTGTTCCCTGGAGGACCCGGAAATCTCTAGGTGTTGTCACCGCTGTTTTTCTTAAGTCATTTGTGAAATTTCAGCTTGGAAGACAGATTCAACGTGTGCTTTGCGGGAAGGGAAAGCCTGCCTGGGCACACCTCTTAGATGCCAGCCCTGGCTGAGAGGTCCCCTGATCTGGCCAGAAGCGGCACCTGGGTGCACACCATCCTTGGGGATGAGCCTCTGTGGTCTCGGACTTCTCAGTGACAACCTCGGCAAGATCCTGGGCCGGGCCAGAGGATCTGCTCTGTGGAGGCCCCGCCATCCTCAAAAGCTGGATCTTGCTCCTGGGCACCTGCTGTCCAGACCTGGGGCAGCCGAGAGGCCAGGGCACCCATCGCCAAGGTCTGTGGGTGGCTCTGTGGGGGCAGGGGTGAAGCAAGGGTCCTCCCCGGTGGGTGGCTGGGCCTTGGATGGGAGTGGATGGAGACTGGAGGGCATGGGGCTCAGCTCTGGAATCCCACCCGCCCTCAGGCCAGGGCCTCCTTGATGTGAGGAGGTGGTCAATAGCTAGCTCAATCCCCAGCTGGTCCGGGGGAGCTAAATGGAAGACCCCCTCTGGGGCTTGGGAAGAGGAGTGAAGGTGGAGGCTAGGGTTGCTAGACTGGCTCCTTTCTCTTCCTTGGAATCTGGCCCTGCCCTCTGGGAGCTTTAAGTCTTGGGCTGGAGTTGGGGAGGCCCAAGCTAACAAGACTATAGGGAGCCTGGGAGGTCATCTGGGTCCAAGGAACTGGTGGGGTTGACAGGGTAGGCTGTGAGGCTGGGGCTTTGACTCTAAGCTGCTTTGCCAGTGAGAGCTCTTGGCCTGCTGTTCCTTAGCCTCGGGCTCCCAGCACAGGTGAGGAGAGGGGCCAGCCGCTGGGGCTCTTGGAGAGAGATTTAATAATCTTAGCCTGTCTCTCTGGCGGTTAGTATTGCAGGAGAGAAGCTTTACTCCTAAAACTTTTATTGATCCAGACACTAATAAAAAGTAAAGGGTTTTTCGGAACAAGGTTTTTTTTTTTTTTTTTTCCCTTTTTTCTTACTAGAGCAAAGAACATCAGAGCCCTAAAACACAAATATGTTTTCTTCCCTCGCCCTAGATTTGGGGGGCACGGGGATTGGCTTTGTTCGGCCTTCGCCTTTTCAGGGAGCCTTCCCTGACTGCGCAGGCTGCAGTCATCCCTCTTTTCCAGCGGTTAACCAAAGCCACCACTCGTGCATCTGGTCTGTGCCCTAGAGAGGCTGGGGCACTGCAGAAGCCTCGTGTTCACCTGAGACCTTGGGAGGAGTAAGAGGCATGTCCTTAGGAGGCAGCAAAAGCTGGACTCTTAGTGTCTTTTTGGGGTTGATTCCTTTGCTCCCCTGTTTTTACATATTCATTTGATAAACACTTACTGAGCTTTTACACTCTTAGACCATGCCAGGATCCCCCTCCACCTCAGGATTCAGTAATACAGCAGACATTACCCTTGTCCATACAGAGCTTACCTTCTGGCAGAAGAGACGGGTAATCGGAAGTAGTTTCAGGTTAGGCGGACACATTCCCCCGCTGAATTGTAAGTCAGGGATTTTTGTCTATTTTGTTCAGCATCTGGATTCCCAGTGACTAAAATGGTGCCTGCCTGGCCCATGGTTTGTGCTTAATAAATATTTGCTGGCCAAATGAGCAAGGCTGTGAAGGAAACAAGCCAGGTGTTCCAGTCGGGAGCATGGGGGTGGGGCAAGACTTGTTGGAGGGGGCAGTTGGGGAAGGGCTGAATTCCAGAAGACACCAAAAGCCAGCCTTTCGTTGTGGGTGGAACAAGTACGCAGAGGGAGGGTGCAGCAGGACAAAGTCCCCAAGGCGGGAAAGTCAGGCTGCTGGTGGGGGTGGGGGTTGCCAGATGAGGTCAGAGGGGAGGCAGGCCACTCCTGCTTGCTTCTATCTGTGGAAGAGTTTGAATGTTTTCAGAGTGCTTGTAGGAAGTAATTGAAGGGTTTCTAGCCCAGGCGTTTTATAATCTGCTTTACATTTCTAAAGGGTCCCTGTGATTCCCTGGTAGGCAGTAGGGCGTGGGGTGAGGCCACCTGGGCAGATGCAGAGGAGTGGACCTGGTCGTGAGGGTTTTAGAGGAGGTATCAGTAGGACTTGGTGATGGATTGGATTCTGAAGGCCAAGGAAGGGGAGGGCTCTTGGCTTTTGAGGCTCGGCTTTAACTTCTAAGATGGAAGCTTCACTTTGGACATTGGACATTTCAGGCTTGAGGTGCTAGGAGGCATCCTAGGGGAGATGTCTGGCCAGAGGAGGGGAGGGCTGCAGGCAGAAAAAAACCTAGGAGTCTCGAGCACACTGGAGCTATTTAAAGCCACGGAGTGCATGAAAGCACCAAAGGAAAGTGTTTCGCTGAAGAAGAGTGCCCCACATCTGAGCCTGAGCAACTACACCTGGAGGGAAGTTCATGCAGTACCGGGAAAGGAGCCGAGAGTAGTGGCCCGTGAGGGAGGAGGGAAGCCACAGAGGGTGGCGGCCTGGGTTTCAGGGAGGGAGGGAGCTGTCCTCCATGGAGTAAGGAGAGGACAGGGCCTCGAGGGGAACCACTGGGGTCAGGAGAGGTATGTGGAATAGGAGAAGGAGGTGAGGATGAGGAGGCAGGAGTCAGCGAATCACAGGGAGAGCCGGCCAGTCTGGGGAGCTGAGGAGGGGCCTTGAGGGCCTCAGATGCCCTTGTCCCCCTGGTCACAGTTCACCAGCTCACCCAGTGGGGCTCAGCCTTGGTCATGCATCGGGATGCTCTGAGCCCTTTTTCCTCCTCTCTCTCTGTGGAGGGCTCGCGGACTGCCCTGTAGCTTCTCACTTTTTCTGGCTCACATGTCCTTCCCCCTCCCTGCCCCATCTCTGCGGTAAGGCCCCTAAGAAGGGCATCCTGGAGCTGGGTTTACTGGGCGGGTCTTTTCACTTTGCCCCAGCAGAGCTAGGTTTCCTGTACACTAATGGCTTCGCTCTGGAAGGCTCCCTTTTGTGTTTGGCCTCCCCCAAGGCTCGTCTGGCTGTAGGAGTTTACAATGTGTTTGGTTGGGGCTGTGGGTGGCAGTGTAGAACTCGGGACATCCTAGGTCTCATGGACTCCATGTGGATTCCCAGTGTCTGCTGAATGAATAACATTCAGATATCTGAGCCTCGTGGGCTCCCAGGTGGTTTTGTTAAATACTTTCTCTGCCCTGGTTAACTGGTGTTTTTATCTCTATTATCTGCAGGGGATAGTGTATTTTCTCATTCTATGCATGAGGAAACTGAGGCTCAGAAAAGTGAAAGGATTTGCCCAAAGTTCCACAGTTGCTAAGTAACACGACTAGAGTTTCAACGCAGGCCTGCAAACCACCGAATTAGGCCACCCCTCACTGACTAACCCCGTGGGTGCTCCCGAAGCCCCCAGTGTCCCGGTGCCCCTCAGGAACAGCGGCCACATGCTCTGTCAGGGCTACAAGGCATTCCTACTGCCTGCTGGCCCTCTTCTTCTGGTGCTCCACACCCCTCGCATCCCCTTGGCACACGCACTGGTTGCTTTAGGTTCCAGGAAGGTAGAAGGAGGCAGACCTTGAACCTGATCAAGCCTCGGGGGCTCTCGGGGCCAAGGGAGGCTGTTGGTGCAGCAGGTGTGAGGTGGTTTGTGTGGCTGCTGCACAGCTCCCCACGGAGAAGTGAGCTCAGCTGCATCACAACCCCTGGGAGACACCTGAGGTGGAGAGGCCCACCCCGCAGTGGGGAGTGGGGAGACTGAGACCCAGAGAAGGCCAGGGTGGGGCTGGGCTCCACCTGGAGAGATGATAGATGATGCCTTATGCAGCCTCCTGACAGGCAGTGTGGCTTTGTGCCCTTGCTTCCCTTCCGGTACCCAGCAGACCCCAATTAGCCTGGGGGTGGGGCCAAGGCAAGTCTTACTTAGGTTTCAAAGGGTTTGGGCCATAGCCCAGCCTTTTTCCTCCTTTATGGCCTCTGGCCTGGCTCTTTCTGGGAGCGGCAGGGCATCTCGAAGGTGCTGTGAGGGTGGTCTGCCTAGTAGTCACTGAGCTTCCCAGTTGAAACCCTTCCTTTTTAAAAAAGAAGCTAAGACCCAGAGGAAGAAGTGACTTGCCCAGGGTCACTTCCAGGACACCGGTTTCCAGCTTCATGGGCAGCGTACCCTGGGCAGCCTCCTTTAGCCTCGCCGGCTGGTCTGTCTTAAGTGCTCACTGAGCCAGGGTTTGTCTATAACCCACTGAACTCCTCACAGCCACCCAGTGAGGCTAAGTACTATTATTATTGCATATTTTACAGATGGGGGTACTGAGAGGCCCCGAGAAGTGACGTGACTTGTCCAAGAACACACAAGTTGCAGGTGGCACAGCCCAGATTTGAACTCATTCCGGCTTCAGAGCCCGCGTTCTTAACCACCAGGCTACACGGTCTCAAGCTTACTTGACTGCCAGGCTCCACAGAAACAGAATGAGGGTGATACATCTTTGAATGACCTGGCCCCTGCAGTGTTAGGCCTGAGCACTCCCCCTGGCCTTGGCGTTCCTGATAGAGGGTGGCCATAAAGCACCTACTGCCTGCCCAGCCATTCCAGATGCCAGGAAATGGCCCATCTTTCTCGGAGGGCTTGTTAGACCAGGTGCTGAGGCACAGGCAGACAGGTCTCTCCTCCTTTCCTCCCCTGCCCACCCTTAGAGCCTAGGGGCCCCAAGAGAGCCCTTACCCCTGCCTCCTTCCTTCTGTGGACAGTGGAAGGGCCTTGGCCAGCTTGCCTGAGCCCTGGGCTTGGAAAGAGGGCTCCCCTCACCAGGCCTCCCGGAGGGGACCGAGGGCCTGGGTGTGACGTGCTCCAGTCCTACAGGGCTGGTAGACCTGCTTTTCTCCCTGCCCACTCCCCTCCCTGCTCTCGTGTCTCACCTTTACCTGGAGTCATCTGTCTCCTTTCATGTCTAGCCAGATGTCATGATTACCAGTTTTCTCATGTAAGAAGGGAGAAAGAACAGAACCGACCTTACAGGGTTTTGAGGCCTAGATGAAAGAAAGCCCAGTGTTGAGGCACCTGTGACAAGTGATTCCTCCTCATCACTTCCATTTTCCCTGTGAAGGAAAGGCGCTGGTGGCTGAGGGACAGGTGGGGCGTGGACATCAGTCTGGGGAAAGCTGAGTGTCTGAGACAGGGAGGGAGAGCAGGTAGGGGAAAGCATCCTGGCTTTGGCTTACCTCACCTGGCTGGGTTCCAGGTTTGATGCAAACTTCGTGGGTGAAATCTTGGGCGACCTGGGAGCCTCTACCCACTGCAGCTTCCTCCTCTCTCAGGTGGGGTCAGGTAATGCCTGTCTCATGCAGTGGTTGAGAGGAATAGTGAGATGGT